ATTCCTCTCGCACAGATATCCAGAGTCTCTGTTCCTGGCTCGAGGGAATCACGAGTCCAGGAATATGAATCAACTCTATGGCTTCAAGGTGCGCACTTGGTGTTAAATCAATGGTAATGATTGCTATTCAGGGCGAGGTTGAAGCGAAGTACGACGAAACACTATACAATCTATTCTGCGAAGCGTTCTGTCTTTTGCCTCTGGCCCATGTCATCAACGATACTGTATTTGTCACGCATGGAGGTCTTTTCAGCAAAGATGGCGTCACCCTCAATGACATACGTAATTTACTTAGTATGCCATATACGGAAAACCCTTTGTAGGTGCGATCGACCGTGATCAGGAACCCCCGGATAGTGGACTGTAGGAATTAGCTCACCGACCTCGATAACATGACGTTTTCAGGATGACGGAAATGCTATGGTCGGATCCTATGAGTGTTAGAGGGCGTGCACCCAGTCAGAGGGGAGTCGGCGTTATGTTCGGCGAAGGTGAAGTTACTGTGTTACTATTTTACATTATAAGGCATTTTGGTAGATGTCACGCGTGACTTCCTGGACACTAATAAACTGCAGTTAGTAGTGCGAAGTCACGAAATGAAGGATGAAGGTTATGAAGTATTCACCTGGTGTTTGTCGTAGGTTTATGAGAGCTTGTTCTAGGTTGAGCATGGTGGCAGTGTCATAACGGTGTTCTCGGCCCCCAACTACTGTGACCAGATGGGCAATAAGGGCGCATTCTTGAGGTTCACAGTACTTACAGAGGCTCAGCGTGAGGCTGAGGAGAAGAAGTCGGTGACGACCAATGGTAATATCATCTCGCTCTAGTGATATCATCGATCTGTTAATCTCGTTACACTGCTCCTACTCAGGTTTCAATCGTAATAGTGAACGAACGTTGTATGGCAATTTGAAGGTGGAGTATACTAAATTCCAACACGTCCCACATCCTGCCAAGAATGTAAGCCTCTGTAGCATGATATCATGGCTTGTTACTCACTCGCCCTCCTAGGCTATGCACTATGCAAATCCGGCACTGCTGGGTCCGATGATGGGAGGGATGAACCTTCAACAGATGATGGCTTCTTCCTCATGAGCAACGTACAACGGCATTGCTGCAAATGTCCGTGTTTCTTTCTGCGTCCGCCTCTAACCGCCAAGTTGTACTACTATATCGTAGCCGTAGTCTCTCAACGACTCCTGTTGTGTTGTTGAGAATGGTTTAAGCTTCTATCGCTGAGCATAGTCAGCAGACAGCATCCCTAGTAGTGTAGGATACCGAATGATGATCTATTACATGGGAGGAGTATGGTAGAGTAGATATTAGCGACTAGAGCAGGCTGATTTTTTTAGGATCAGTGGAGGATTACTATGTTAACATGCCTTTGTGTGAATCAAGTGCAGAAACGTTGCATTGTTGTTGTTGTAGTTGTTGTTGTTGTTGTTTTCTCTGTATAAGCCCTAATGCTGGGCGTATCTCCGAAAGTGACCGAACGGATCGACCTTGTTAAGCCATTGACTAAATATTGTGAGGAGTATTATGGATCGGACGAGGCCAAAGAGGTGGGGACACGTGTGGAAATGACACAATGAGAGGTAATGCATATTTAGGTCACGCAGTTCATCGCGCTGGTTAACTCCTTGAGGGCTGAAGTCGCCACGCCTATGTCCGCTGATGGAGCTGGATTCAGCGGCCATGTGGATAATCTCACACGGTGAGTCGAGGGCTCCTCGCAAGTTCAGTGGTGCGGGCATCCATGACTTCATCTGTGTGATCATGCTCATTCTATAGCCGTACCGGGTTCCCGGGGTGGAGCTATATCATTACATTGGGTCTTCCTCAATGGCAGATACTTGGCGGTTCTCACTCTGTTGGAACAGAAGTTCAATTTTGAGCGCCAATCGGACAGCTCTCCGGCGTCGAGTACGGTGAAAGGTACTAGTAAACTGATCCGTGCTGCACCTGTTACTGCCTCG